CCTTTAGTATTTGTTATAGAGCTGGTTTGGTGGTGCTGAATTCTCTTAGCTTTTGCTTGTGTGTAAAGCTTTTGATTTCTCCATCAAATCTGAATGAGATCCTTGCCAGGTAGAGTAATCTTGGTTGTAAGTTCTTCCCTTTCATCACTTTAAGTATATCATGCCACTCCCTTCTGGCTTGTAGCGTTTCTGCTGAGAAATCAGCTGTTAACCTTATGGGAGTTCCCTTATATGTTATTTTTCATTTTTCCTTTTCTGCTTTCAATAATTTTTCTTAGTCTTTAATTTTTGCCAGATTGATTACTATGTGTCTTGGCGTGTTTCTCCTTGGGTTTATCCTGTATGAGACTTGCTGTGCTTCCTGGATTTGGGTGGCTATTTCCTTTCCCATGTTAGGGAAGTTTTTCACTATAATGTCTTCAAATATTTCCTCTGGTCCTTTCTCTCTCTCTTCTCCTTCTGGGACCCCTATAATGCGAATGATGTTGCGTTTAATGTTGTCCCAGAGGTCTCTTATGCTGTCTTCATTTCTTTTCATTCTTTTTTCTTTATTCTGTTCCACAGCAGTGAATTCCCCCATTCTGTCTTCCAGGTCACTTATCCGTTCTCCTCCTCAGTTATTCTGCTATTGATTCCTTCTAGTGTAGTTTTCATTTCAGTTATTGTATTGTTCATCTCTGTTTGTTTGTTCTTTAATTCTTCTAGGTCTTTGTTAAACATTTCTGGCATTTTCTCGATCTTTGCCCCCATTCTTTTTCCGAGGTCCTGGATCATCTTCACTATCATTATTCTGAATTATTTTTCTGTAAGGTTGCCTATCTCCACTTCATTTAGTTGTTTTTCTGGGGTTTTATCTTGTTCCTTCATCTGGTGCACAGCCCTCTGCCTTTTCATCTTGTCTATCTTTCTGTGACTGTGGTTTTTGTTCCACAGGCTGCAGGACTGTCTGAATTCAGTTTTTTTTAAAAAGTTTTATTTCTGAGTTTGCAGATCAAGAATTTACACCTGCCAATAGAAGGCAGTTTCGATTTTTATCAACTCCGCCCTTCCACCCTGGACCTATACCATCCTCCTTAGCATGAAGATTTTTCTGGAGATTGTGAACAGGAGGCAAGCAGTGACACTCTGGGAGAGCTGACCCCGTTGAAGCTAAGTGTCCCCTCTGTGTACTTCCACGATACTCTAAGCACAGCACAATTCAGTCATCCATTATTCTGTCCATGGTTATTCCCTTTTTGTCCCCCTTTTCTTTTGCTACCATGAACAATCCTGCTAGAAATAAATTTTTTTCCTACTGTTCCCGCAGGGACACACCCAACTGCTGTTGCCAAAGACACATGGAAGGAAACTTGATAAAGGGAAGGAGGGATAAGGTTTGACAGGCTAGACATTCAGCAAACAGGTGTGCGTTCAGATCAGTTCAGGAAACATCAGTCACTGTCATCACTTTAGTCTCCCAGTAGCTGATGCCACTGTTGACTGATGTCTCCTGCTCTTCTCTTGGCTTCTGTGAAACCACTCTCCTCTCTGAACTCTCTTGCTCATGGCTCCTTTGCAGGCATCTCCTCATGATAAGATCTCTGTTGGATGGACTTTCTCTTGATTCAGGAAGGGGCACTGCTATCTTCTCTCTCTAGGCTTCCAAGGTAATATCATCCAGTCTCAGGGCATATATGCTGATCATTTCCCCCGAAACTCTCTTCATCCCAGACCTCTCCTCTAAGAGATATACAGACTAGAGCCGCCACCTACATAATGTTTCCCTCTTGAGGTCCCATAGGCATTTAGAACTTACTATGTCAAAAATAAAACTCTTGGGAATTCCCTGGTGGTCCAGTGGTTAGGACTTCATGCTTCCACTGCCAGGGGCCCAGGTTTGATCCCTGATCGGAGAACTAAGATCCCACAAGCCGCGTGGCGTGGCCAAAAAAAAAAGCAAAGAAATAAAACTCTTGGTTTTGTCTCTGAAACCCATCCTTCTAGTCTTCCCTTTTGCTGGAAATGATACCATCATCTGCACACAGCTGGGCACATGGACCATAATTTCTTTCTTTCCCTCACCACCCCCTAAATCCACTCCACCCCTAAGTCCTGTTGACTCTATCTTCAAAATATATCCTGACTCTTTCCACTTCTCTCCACTGCAAACTTGTCATCATCACCTCTCACCTGGATGACTGCAATAGCCTCCTCACTGATCTCTGTGCATTTATGCTGGCCCCCTGCAGTCTATTCTCCTCGTAGCAGCCAAGTAAATCGTTAAAAAAATTTGTTTCTGTCACTTGACTGCTTAAAAACTGCCTATGGCTTCTTTCCCATTATACTTCATACGCTGTACTTTGAAGAAAAAATCATATGCGCATCAGGGCCTACAGGCTTTGCACATCTGGCCCCTGCTGACTCCTGCCAACCTCTCCACTTGCCCTCTGTCCAACTAAGCCCCAGTTATACTGGCCTCTCCTCCATTTCTTGAAGATGCCAAGAAATATTCCACCTCAAGGTCATCACCTTTCCCTCTGCCCAGAACATTCTTAGCTAAGTCATGTCTAAGTCCTTCTCAAACTTCAGGCCGTGGCATCCCCTGGCCTTCTCTCTACCCAAGTGACTCCCCCTACCTTCTCCTTATCCCAACTTTGTTCTTTATCCCTGCAGCATGTTTATTCGTTCATAGTCCTTGCTATTTAACTGTCTTTGCCACTAGACTGTTGGCTTCACAAGGGCAGGGATCACATCTGTTTTACACACCAGCATATCCCCAGTGCCTAAGCCAGAGCCTGGCACATAGTAAATATGTAAATATTTGTTGAATGAATGGGTTAATTAGCCCTGCACTGGGTGAATAGGATACAGAGGACCCAGATATGGTCTTTCTGTTCCATAATGCCATAATCTGATGGATGAAAAAGAAGTAGATAGGTAATTGCAAAACTGGTAAATAATATAGTAGAGACCAGAACTGGAGGCAGTAGAAACATAGAGAGGCCCATACCCCAGTGTGGAGTATGCATGTGAGCAGAGAGGAGGCTGTGTTTCCATGATCGATGGCACCAGCATCTCCCTAGAAGAAATTCAGTTTCTCCTAATAGCATTTATTTAGTGTACCAAGTTCCATGTACTGTTGCTTGTTTGTTTGTTTTTAATATGCCCAAAGTCATACAACTTCTAAGTGATAGAATTGGGATTCAAAGCCAGGCAGTCTGGCTCCCAAACCTGCATCTTTTTAAAATTTTTTAAAATTAAATTGTTTATTTATTTATTTTGGCTGAGCCACGTGGCGGCTTGCAGGATCTTAGCTCCCCAACCAGGGATCGAACCCAGGCCCCCCTTTAGTGGAAGCGCAGAATCCAAACCACTGGACTGCCAGGGAATTCCCTGCATCCTTTTTTTAAAAACAATAATTTGAGGTGAAATTCATATAATATAAAATTCATCATTTTAAAGTGAACAATTCAGTGGCAGTTAGAACATTCACAATGTTGTGCAACCATCTATCTAGGTCCAAAACATTTCCATCATTCCAAAGTAAAACCCCTTATCCAGGAAGCAGTTTCCCATTACCCTCCATGTACTGTTTTTGATCCCCACAATGACCCAATTGTACAATTGAGGAAAGAGGCTCTGAGAAATTCAGCTATAGTGAGTTCAGAAGTTCAAGGTTACCTAGCTAGTAGAAGTGATTCTGAACCTTTGTTTTCTGACCCCAGAGTCTAAATCTTTGATTAATACAGGTCTTTGGGCAAAGTCACAAGTAGGGGGCTGGATTTGGGTATCAAAGAGAGTAAATTTGGGGGGTGCACGGATTTATAAGCCATAAATGCACCCTCGGTTGTTAAAAAACGCACGTTTAGGTAAAACTGCAATTAGCATCGCTCAGGTGAGCGGAGTCAAAAGTAAGACGCTGAGCCTGCGCGTCTGGAGCCTGTGCTGCGCAACGGGAGAGGCCACAACAGTGAGAGGCCAGCGTACCGCAAAAAAAAAAAAGGAAGAGCAGCTATAGGGCAGAGACCTGGAAAGATCACCACTGCAGGAAGCTTTGCCAAAGCCTCAACAACAAGAAGTTTGTAATTCCTTGGACAGCCCCTAGATGCACCACGCTGGGACCTGAAAAGAGGCAGAGTAGCTGGGAGGGTGTGGCTTGCCTTCCTGTGGCCCGACCTAACCAGGAAATGCCAGGGAGTTGTTCGACAGAGAAGCTGAGGGTGCAACTGGATTAGGCACAGTAGGAAGCAGTCCTCAGGCCAATTGCATCCCACTCAGAGGGGGCCTCCTGGGCACGAGTACTCTGAGGCGTGGAGGGCCTCGCCTTAGTATCCGTCTTCTCCTTCCTGGAGGAGCTGTCACCACTCTAGCACCCCTCTTCCACAAAATAGGGGTGCTCTCTCTGGGGCTTCTTTCTTTCTCTCTGGAAGTCAGGGACCCTGGAGGTCCCTCGTTTTTAGGGATCTCAGACAGAGGGCATCCCTCTAAGTTGCCTCTCACGTTTCCTCTCCTCCCTCGAGTGAGAGGGCTGTGCGGGCCCCTCCTACCCCGACGTTGGAGGCGTTTTCTGAGAAGCCCCCATCTTCTTCACGCTCGGGGTGGCGGCCGAGTTCTAGTTCAACAATGCACCGCGCTCGGCTCAACCAGCTGCGAGAGGGCAACTCCATGGAAACCAAAACATCCCAACTCCGCGGAGATATCGCGAGAAGCACGGTGGCTCCAGCTGCTGAGAGAGGAGGAGCGAGGGCGGGAACAGAGTGCGAAGTGGGAGGAGCCTAGGCACTTCAGAGTCCCCCGCGGGAGACCTTCCCTCCCAGCGGCGCCCCCTCGTGACTGCGCTTTACATAATCGAGGCCGCGCGCGTCATAAGTGGCGTACTCCTGTCCAGACCGAATCAGAGTCGTAAGAAGCTCCCTGTTCCGCCCCTTCCTCCTTGATAGACGTCAAAATGAACCAGTGAACGGGCGTCCAGCGCTGCCGCGCCAGCCCTGGTCCGCCAGCACCCGAGGACCCGCCCGCCTGCAGCATCCCGCAGCCTGCCGCCGCCAGGTTGTGCTTCAGACTGTCAGATAAAGCGGCGGGCCGGGCCGGTAGGGTTGTGAGCACGGCCCGGGCCGGACATGGCGGCGCTCTACGCCTGCACCAAGTGCCACCAGCGCTTCCCCTTCGAGGCGCTGTCTCAGGGGCAGCAGCTGTGCAAGGTGCGCGGGCTGGGGCGGCAGCCGGGAACTGGGACGCTGGAGGCGCGGCCCGGAGCTCCCGGTTCTGTGGGGACGCCCGGCGGGGTCCCCCGGGCAGGGCGTGGCAGGCCCGCCTAGCTGAGGAACCGCACCCGCTCCGCCGGGGCTGGCGGGGCACGTGGGGGAGACCCGGGCCGTGTCCAGGCCCCAGCGGCCGGCGTGTCCGGGTGCTTAGCAACAGCGAGGGATTGTTCTCGGACCCCGTGAGGTCGGGGGAGGGGACAGCTGGTCCCCCGCTCGCCCTCGACCAGCCGCGGCGGAGATCCCTTTTGGGCTGGCTTCCTCTCGCGCCGGGGTCTGCCGGGTTTCAAGCTTAGGGACCTCCTGCCCCACCTGGGACAGAACTCCAGAGTTGGGTGCTGTCTGGGACGATCGTGTCGAACTGGACCCTTCACGGGCACTTTTCAGCCAGTCCCAGAGTCCGAGGTAGCCAGGCTTTATAATAAAGCCCCACAGTCAAACGCACGAAGCAAAAGGATGATATTTCAGCTTCTAGTTAGTGACCTTCTGTCCTCGCCGTAACCAGCTGCTGATCAGTTTTTACCCCTGAAGGTCCAAGTTCTCTTTTTTTCTTTTAAGTTGCTTCATCTTGCTTTGCCTATTTAAATGAATAGAGGTGCTGTGAAGCGACAGTTAAAAGTCACCAAGCCAGCTGGAGAGTGATGTTGAGATATCTCCAGATAATCCAGAGTTTGTGTCTCTGGTATGGCTAACTCATAATTGTGTGTCATCATTGCCTCCAGTGGCCATGACTTTGTCTCTCTTTGTTTACTAGGTATGAGAGAACTCAAAAAGTCAAATGTCTGAATGCCTTTTTGGCCTTAAAAAATACGTATTTGATTATATGTTTGTATATGTATATATTTATTGATTTTAAGGGAGTTTTATATATGTAAGCAATAATGATTTTAATTCAGTACTTTGGTTTCACAAGTGAACCTGCTCAAAAATCACAGTGGCAGAGGCAGAACTGGACTAGAATCCAGGGCTTCTCATTCCTTAGGCCTGAGGCTTATTCATACCTTTGTTTTACAATTTATGACTAGTTCCATATAAATTCTTACTTAACTCCCACATCAGTGCAGGGTGGTGGTGCCAGTTTTACAGACAAAAAAAATTAGTCCCAGAAAGTTTAAGTGACTCACTCAAGCACAGTGGCTATGCTTGGAATAGTACCCAGG